TAATCAGTAATTAATAAAATAATTATTAATATAGAAAATAATTTAATTTATATTAATTAAATAATGGTTATTAAGTTTCACATAAGCAAGGCTATGTTTCTGATCAGGCTGTTGATAAACTCATGCTGGTACCACACTGTGTTCTGTATACAAAGCAAATGTAAGAAAGAAAAGTAAGCTCTAGAATCTCTTCAGGGGATATTCATGCTATGCTGAGCTCAAGAATACTTTCTAAACTCAAAGAATTTTAGACAGAAAAATCCTTAATAATGTAGGCAGCAGGAAATGAATGGGGAATATAAAATTCATTATTATTATTAATTATCCTGAAAGCATTTGATATTACAGTTGGCTTTAATTCTGTGTCATACTGCTCCAAAGCATTGTGATTTTGGAGTTCTGTAGTCTGCTGCTGCTTTTGTTTTTCTTGCTCAAAAATGTTCGTACTTCCAGAGAAGAAGAATTCTTTAAAGCCTATGGGTTTAACTTCATCCTGTTGAAAGATGCTCATTTTCTAACTTATATCCCGAGTGGCATGTGCAGCTCCTGTGGTGAGTTGTACAATCCATGCTGAGGTCCAGACTGAAGCATTTTTGTAGTTTACTGATGTGTAAATGTGTCTGTGTGTGTTCCAGTCACCTCCACTAGTGAGGTGAGTCCAGATGTGTCACGTGCCTTGGAGAGCTGTCAAAAGTAGAAAGTACCATGTGTTAATCATGGTGCAGACTGAGTAAATAACTGTTCTGTATCTTTCTGCTAAAGAGCAATGAAAAAAATGTTTACTAAAGTAGATAATATTAAATTAGTAAGCCAGTACTAATAATTTTCCTAAAGCATGAACTGCTGGGTACTCAGAAGAGATTCAGATGTAGAAAATTATAGTGAAATTCAAGACTTTACGTTCATCAAATCTCCCATCTTTCTTTTTCACAGTATTTAAATCTGAGCACCTGTGCTGCTGCAGCCTTATTGTCAAGGCTGCTCCAATACTTACACTTATTTTCTGCTTTTCATCCGCATTGTTTTGCATTATCTTCCATTTCCCTGTCTGCAGTTTACTACAGTGTCTTTAACATTTTCATTATTGTTTCAGTCCTGTGTGAGGAAAGCTGAACTATTAGGTGGTTATCTCAAACAGATGCACTAGTTTCCTTGAACTTCCCAGTGTCGTAGTTTGAAATAATGAAGTTTATCTTTACTCATATTCCTGTGTTCAACTGAGCTTCTTTAGCAGATAAATCCATCTTTCTTCTGTTTGCAGGAAATGAATGGAGTTCTAAAGAACATGCTTTCAGAGTGGTTCTCGACAGGATTCCTGAACTTGGAAAGGGTCACTTGGCAATCGCCTTGTGAAGTACTCCAGAAAATTAGCGAGTAAGTGCTAAAAGTTGCAAACACTCAGTGGAGAGGTGATAAAATGCTTGTGACTGCACAGATCACTATTTTCAAGATACTGAAAGGCAAAGTATAAATAAGGAATAGGTGCACTTCACATACTTCAGAGCATATTGTTTAAAACCAAATTAAGGAAACAGCAAAGGGGATCATTTGTCCCATAATTTGGTTCTTCAGCTCACACACTGCCCTTGTAGCCTGCTGTCTTTTCTTCCAAGCTTCTCAACTACTTTTCCCACTTCCCCTTACATTTGTGTTCAGATTCATTCAAGGATTTAGTCATCTCAGTTGGATATCCTATAGCGAACAGAAAGTGGAAGTAAAATCTCATATATGTAATAAGCATATCCCAAAGAAAAGTAGAGAGTGGGTGTGCAATGTGCCTTTACCATCTGCTTTGTCACAGTTTGCAGATGAATTTTACTTCTTTCACTTACGCATCCTGATTCTCCCTTTTTGACTAGAGTTTTGCCACTGACATCACTGGGAAAAGTACTGCGCTTGTAGGGCTGGCAGCTGATCCCTGTTTCTAAATGAAAAAAAAATACGTAATTTTACTTTGTTTTTATTTTCTCATTGAGTTCTGAAGCTGTGCATCCTGTTAGAAACTGGGTTGATATGAAGCGTCGAGTTGGGTCATATAGAAGATGCTACTTTTTTTCTCACTGTGCAATCCCAGGAGAACCACTGATAGTCTTGCATGTTGCACTAACCAGTGATATCTCCAGCAGCATCCAGGTACAGTCACTGATGCATTTAGTAGACAGCAAAGTGCTCTAATTGCAGTGCACTTCCTTTAAAGTCTGTAATTCCTTATAATTTAAGAATATTCGGGTTTGTTTGGGTTTTTTAAGAGATGAAAGAATTGGCATTTAAACATTACAGGGTTATTCTGTCTATTTTCTGTATTATGTTATTTGACATTTTGAGGGTTTGCTCAAGTGCAAGAAGAATAACAAAAGATATATTTAAGAAAAGATAGCAAATGAGATTAAAACTTCAAAGCAGTGGTGATTACTTCTGAAAGTTTTAAACCGTGTTACAATTATTTTCCTCACTTGCTAATGGATAAGCAGCTCTTCATTATACTTTTTGATTAGATTTTTGTTGTTTCTCACAGAGAGTAATGAATAAACAGTGGGGAAAAGTGTTAACAAGTTTGCAAGTTAAGAAGAAAGACGCTCTCTGCCATAATGATGGTAATAACTACTACTAATTTTTTTTCATTCTCATTTTCCCAGGCCATAGTGAAAGAGGTGCCACCTTTAGAAACAGAAGATACAGACAAAATTACAACAGCAATTTTCTACTCGATCAGTTTGACTCAGCAGGGACTGCAGGGTGTGGAACTTGGGACTTACCTCATCAAGCGGGTTGTAAAAGAGCTGCAGGTATGTGTGGCAGGGTGTACTTAACATGCTGTTTGGCCAACATGCTCCCCTCACATTGCTGTTTTAGTTTCCATTTTGTGTCATTGCTCAAGTCAAGGAACTGCTTGGTCTTCCCCTACACTTGCAGCTTCTTTCCAGATCAGCCTTTGAAGATGTGTAAAGAATGGTTGGAAGAACATTTTCTGCTGTTGGCGAATGTCTGCCACATGTAGATATTGTTCCATAGTTGGTATGTACTGTGTGACTTACTTGTGTTTGCCCAGTCATGTGCATAGGGTGCTGAAAAGTCAAATTTAGTACATTTCTATTGAAGGTAGCTTTGATATGGCTGTATTTTGCACTGTAGTGTATTACAAGATTCACTACCGTGTCTCAGTTGAGTGAGCTAAGCCTGCAACCAGGGTTCCTTCCAGGCCCTGATCAACATAATCTCTTTGCAATGTACCCAACTGTTACTTTTTCAAAATCTTACAGCTGCTCCAGTAACAGAAGTACTTCCTGTACATTAATTAATTAGTGTTCTTGTTTGTTATACTGAGTTGCCCCTGGTTATATATGCAGTTTGAATACCTGCCTTGAATGTGTCTGTTTAAATACGAAACAACCAACCAACCAACCCAAAAAAAAAAACCCAACAAAAAAAAAAAAGCACAAAGATTTCTTTGCCCAGGCATTTCTTGCAATGTAGTAGAGAAGATGTGTTTAACATTTGAAAGTCACAGGAATCAGTTACTTTATCCAAGTCAGTTCTGTGAATTTAATATCATTGCATGCTATGGGATTATTCTTAATAGATTTAGGATTTGTTGTAGAAGCTTCTTGCAAGGAACTGGAGAAAGGAATGAAAATTAATTTATATATGGAGTGGTGTGAAAGAGACAGTCATTTCTGTGTTGAGTACTTTGTTTACTACTTAAATTACTAACAAAACTACCACTTAAAAATAATGATCACTACTTGTGCCAAGTTCATTGTTCCAACATCTGGAATAGTAATGGTGTTTGGAAAATTGTCTGTGATTTAGAACTTCAGTTCTACTTACAAAAATAACTGAAAATTGGATGCACCAAATTTCTGCTTCTACAAAATGATTGCTTAGGCAACTACTGAATCATAGCTGGCTGCCCTAAAGTATAGTATTTTATTATGATTTCATATTGTTTTGTTTTATATAGATATTTTAGCTAAATTCTGTTGCTTTTTGCCTTCAAAATGGCTTTTATATTAACTGTCTAAAGTGCAGTCATCCAGGTGTAATTAGGCCATGTCATCTGTCTGATTTCTGAGAGAAATTAGAACAAATTCATGCTGTTCTCTGCTTTCAAATTTGAAAAGTAATTTCTGGATAATTGAGTTGCTTTCATAAAATAACTCTTGACAATATATTTGTCCATCACTAAACACTTACAACACTAGAAAAGTTACAAGTTCTAAAGGAAAAGAAAGTTCTAAAATTTGATGTGGCCAACAGAAGTATGGGTTTCTTATTTACACTTATGACAAAGTTTCTACATGTCAGCATTGTAAAGTCCAGCTCTTTTTCCATGTTCATCGAGTACATGATGAATAGGAAACACTTTGGCTGAGACGCCTTTAAATACATTCTAATCATAAAATTATTGCTTCAAGCTTAAGTAATGCATTTGATACTGACAGCTGAAGTGCTTTCCATGCAATGCCAAAGATGGAGGTTTTCCTCCCTACTGAGTTATGATGCACTGCTTTAATGTTATGAAAAATGTGCTGCTGCTAGTAAGGTTTTATATGACAAACTGGAGGTGTACTTAGTTGACTATGAAATTGTATCAAAACTTGAACTGCCTTTTTGTATTAATTCTATATCTATATACTAAAGATACAACAACCTCTACACCATTCCTTTTCTTGATGATAAACCTTGTTGGTGTACCACCATGGGGTCAAAAAAAGACGTGAAGGATAATCCAGTAGTGTTTATGGTGGATGTGGTTCTCTAATAGTTTTTTTTCCACTCTTTGATGTTGTTAATACTTTTTCCCTGTCTCTTCTTCCCACTCCTTGACGTTTTCTTCGTCATCATTCCAAAATACTGTTCTTGAATTCATTGTCTTGAATTCTGCAAGAACCATCTCCCATTACATATTTTACATTTTGTGAAATGACCCTGAACCATCACACTGCTGTTATCAGAATTATGTGATGCACTTCTATAGTGCCTCCTTTAGTTGTAAACATTGTGTCTCCCATCTAAGTAGACTTCACCTTTCAGTGGAGAGAAGCCCTTTGTATTTCAGCTTCAAAATACTTACTCTGAAATTTCCACGAAGTTAGATTGTTCAGACCAGAGGCAGGGCGTATCATGAGTAATACTATTGGCAGCCTTTGTTACCTTCCTCCCAGAATTCTGGAAGTCCAGCTTCAGTGCATTGATTGCACACACGTGTTCTCTTTCTTTCTGGTCTGCTGTAAGTAAAGGACTTTCCAAGGTTGTCTGTGCTCAGGTTGGACATAATTCTTCTGAGCAGCATTATAGTCATTTACTTTAAAAGGGACAAATGGTATAGCAGTAGTGCTGAGTTGACTTGGTGGCAGCAGCTGAAACAATATGGCCTCAGCAAAAACCCCTTGGGTCAGAAATCACATCTCATTAAGCAAGCTTCCAGCAGCCTCTGTAAAATAGATAGTTGAGGTCTCTGATAGGAAGAGGATATTTTACCTAACCTTTGGATGGCTTTGCAATAAACAAATCTTCTTTTAAAGTGCTGCTAAATCACCAAGTGATCCAGGTTGCATAAGTTGAGACTTTTTAATTTAACTGATAATAAAATGCATTGGGAAGAGGAGACGGCTTTGAAGGCATCAAGAATTTTGCTTTTCATTTTATCTGAATCATTGATGATTAATACACTTTTATAACTTGTCGTCTGTTTGAGTTAACTTCTGTGGATACATGCTTGATCTGCAGAATGTTATTTCATTTGCGTTTTCCCAAGGCACTGCAAACTCTTTAAACTTTTTTTATCCTCTACTGAAAATCCTTCATCTGACTTTGCCTTAACTTAACCTGCTGGGACACTTCTACTTGTAACCTCAAAACTGAATTCTCAGCTGTCATTCTTCGTAAGAAAAACTCCAAATTGGACCTGTCATGAATGTATCATTAGACCAGAAGAAGACACACACTAAGTTATACATATGCTAGTAGCCACTCTGTTTTCCCACCATTGAAGCCTTTACTTGGCAAGATTTTTAAAAACTATTTGGAAACATCGATCAAGTAGGTACCTACAATATGAAGTTATGTCTATAAATTCAATTAGTACCAGATTCCTTAAAGTCTCATTCATGGACAATTAAGATAGAGCTTAATTTTTTAGAAATCATAGAATCCCAGCCTGGTTTGTGTTGGAAGGGACCTTAAAGCTCATCCAGCCCCAACCGCCTTCCATGGGCAGGGACACTTTCCACTAGAGCAGGTTGCTCCAAGCCCCTGTGTCCAACCTGGCCTTGAACACTGCCAGGAATGGGACAAAATCTTCTGGCTAATTTGTGTGAACTGGTCACATACACTGTGTAGGGTGGCACTTCTCACCTTCAGAGAATGTCAAGTACAGATTCCCTCACAAAAATATGTCTGGCAAATGGGTTTTTATTAGAACTCTTAGGGAAACTGCAGTGGTAGAGGCTCTGAGAAAGATTACAACCCTCAGTGTTAAGCACTGTTAGTTTGAGGCATCGCGTAGAATTTATTGGCCCCTGGTCTTGAGTCTTTCACTAATCTTAAGCAGATGGAGGACATACTGAGTTTGAGTCACAGAAATGGGTCCTCAGTTTCATCTCTTTATATGTGCATTGTTAGCAGTTTGAATCCTTAATCTCTGCCTAGACGTTGTGATTTGGCAAGTATAGTAATATAATTGGCTGAAGGGGAGAGGTATAATGGAGATTAGAATAGGACCTTGTGTCACATACAGAGGGCATCCTGGAGAAAGTGAGCTGCTGTAATTGGGAGATTTTTCTTTCTTTGGTAGTTGCTTCACAAAAGTTTGCTACACAAATAATACAGAAGGTTTTTGTAAACAGGCTTCCATTATTTTCTGAGCATATCCTGTTTGCATTAGTTTGGGTAAGCAGTAGGATGAATTCATTAGTCCATTGTGTAGTCTCTTGGTTATATTAATGTATATAAAGCAAGGAACAGACAACAGAAATAATTTCTTGTAGTCCTTAATTTAAGCTTGTATTGTTCCCAGAAACGAATTGGATTTTGAAACTATTTCAGACAACTAGCAAGAAAACAAACAAACCCCAAATTGGACACTGGAAAACAAGCAAGCAGATGCTTTTTTAGCGAGCTGATAGGTGCTGGTGAATGCGGAGACAGATTTCTCGCTAGACAGACATTTAATTCAGAATGTGTTTATAGCCACTCTAAATGGTCTCTAGCTCTGCAGAAGGTACATCATAGCAATTCAGTCTGCAGATGACAGACACAGATAACTGTGGTGAAGCCTTTGAGAAAACTGCTTAGAATTTTATAGCTTGTGGCATTTGGGGGAGAAAACTGATAGCTACTATGTAACTCAATAGAAGTGCTTAACAATTGGTGGCAGATTTTAGCTTTCTGGTTGGGCTGTTGATAATTGCTACCTTAATTTAATCTAGGTGACCTGGGGAGATCATAATTTCCAAAACACACTTTGCTTTCATTGATGAAAAATGTGACCTTGGACTACTGCTTTCAGAATGCGAGACAGCTTCAGATAAGATATGGATAATAGGAGAAATCTGCACTCTCCTGTAATGAAAAAAACACAAATAAATAAGAGACAACCAAACCCAGAAATCCAGCCCAAAACAAAATGAGCAGCTGTTTCTTAATGGTGTGTGGGTTTCTGACAGGAAAATAAACATTAATGGATCTCCACCAATAGTCTTAGAAACTAGCACATCAATTTACCAGCAACATAAATGTGCACACTCCCCTGAATCTATTTATTTTTCTACAAGAAATGGCTGCTCAGATAAGCTCCTACACTCAAGCATTTATCAGATATGTAGTAATCTGTACTGTAGCTTCAAAATGGGATCACTTTCATATGTCTTATGTGTCCTGATAAGTAAAAAATATGCACAACTTTACATTGTGTGTTTATTGATAGAGTAGGAGGAACTAAATTCCTGTTAAATATTCTGTGTTGGTGAACAGGTCACTCCTGAATGTGAACGGGGCACGAAGAGCAGTCAACATCACAAGGAAGCAAAATGTTGGTTCCTTAAGTAGCAATTTAGCAGTGATTGTTACTAATCCACAAATATGGGAAGAAATCCTTCAGTCCTGCTTGTAGCCTTGGGTATGATGTATAGATACCCTCTGGGCTTTGCAGCGAGGAGGTGAAGTTGGCGTTGTTACTCTGTGGAAGCTTAGCTCCTGTGTGAAGTGTTCAGTAGCAAAACAATATTTTCAGGCACTGTACTTTCTTAGCAGTGATGGTGCAGGAAACTTCCAGACTTGACTTTGGTAAGCAGCCTTTTCTTTTGGTCCAGTCACGCTTTCCTTTTACCTGAAAGAAGAGTTTTTGCTTCTTGAATTTCAGCATTACCTCGTTTTTTTCTCTCAGGTTTTATCCACAAACACCTGTGAAGAGTTCTTGAAAGAGACCTAAGCAATATGTTCTTAAAGGCAGTATCTTTTCTAGGACAAGTTATATGGTTGGAAAAAAAGGAAAACTTGAAGGGAATATAATCCCATCTTCAGGTCAGAAAGAAATACATCCTGAATTCCTTGAATCCCTTCCTAGAGGAAAATAGCCTCTAACAACCTTTTTCTTTTCTTTTTTTTTCTTCCTTTTCACCCAAGCAGCACAATAGTAATGTCTGTACTCCCTCTATAGCACATCTAGGATTTCTCATTGATAGATGATTAATTTGAAAACTTTTACCAGTCTATTCCTTTCTCTTGTGTTCTCTGTGTTACGGACTAAAGAGGAACTTTAAAGCACAACAGGAAGGAAGACACAAAGAATGAAGCCCCATTTTGAAATCCAGTCTTTTTTGGGGGGAGTTTGCTGCTTCTTAAGGAAGATGATGTGGAAAGGGTACTTCTCGTTATAGATTACAGGCTCGTGTTTCTGTACTTTAAGGTTCATTTGGAGGTCTGTCATATCTTAGACGGTTGCTGAGTTGTCATCCATCATTATTGTGTGGACAAGCAGGAGGGTGCTGGATCACTGAATCTTCGGAAGGGCATTGTGGCCCTCCCTTCTGGTCACAAATTCATCTAACTGCAGTGAGAGCAGGCACGCCAAAAGTCAGATTACTTGGCAGCAGACTGTCTCAGCAGTGAAGCTACCGCTGGGTGCAGCAGGGTTGCCACTGGACAGCTCTCAGTGCACTGATGGAGAAATTAAGGTAGCAAGTGATGCTGCTTGTTACCATCTTGACAAAACTGAAAACTATCAGCTTTTTCTCCAGGAACAACTATCTTGAAGTATTTTTCCAGTCTCCTTTAAAAATTTGCTTCTGTGCCATCTTTCTCTCTTTTACTTCTCCAGGAGGTCTGTGGTTTTGGGCTCGAAGTGTTGTCTGTAATAGGAGCTAGTGTTGAATCAAGGAAAGTGTAGTTGACAAGGGGGCAGCTGAGCATGGCTCTCCTCTGCCATACTAATTAAGATCCTGCTGCTTTAAAGAAAAGTATATTCCAGATGTGATGATTAGACAGACTTCTTGATTTAGAATCACTACAGGGAGGAGATGAAAGGTGACCAAAGGAAGATTTAGTGAGTGCATTTGATTTCTGTCTTCAAGTTTTGTAAAGTTATTTTGAATTAATTTGTGGATAAATAATGTTTATAATCCATGGGGAAGTATTTAGTGTGGGGTTGGGAACGGAAAGATTTTTTTTAAAGTCTGTAGAGTTGCTTTGATCTATTCTCATTTTTGTTCTCATTTTTGCCCTTTTCCTGCCCCCAAATATGTATTTTTAATTACTGTAGCCATTGCTCTCTTTTCAGAAGCAGAGGGGAAACGCCTTTGGAAAGGCTGAACTGTCTAATCCAAGAAACATTCTTTTAATTAAAGCATATTTTCTACATCCATGGCTTTTGTAGCCATGGTCTGCAGTAAGGGCACAACCCTAGTAGACTTTTGTTTTATAGATGCTATATTCTCTAAAATTGTACAGAGAGGTGCTAAGATATCAGCAGAATCTGCCTTCCACAGACATCACTTTCTGTATCTTTTCTGTATATGTAGCTTTACAAATGATATTTTTTCTTTTATGAAGTGCATATGCAATCTTGTTACAGACTTACGCTTCAGAATTACTCTTAAAAATAAAATATCATCGTGTCCTTTAGTGAAAAAATCACAGGAGATGAGCTTTGGTAGTATTGCACTCTGACCATAGTAGCAATAGCAGTTGAGAATATGATACAGTTGGGATCTCCTGGGTGCTCTAGTTACAGAAATGGTTGTTTTGTTCAATAACATACAGAAATGAGAGGCTTTATAGAATAATTTGGTTTTTCCTTTATCCAGTTCCCTAAGGAGATGAGATAGAACGTGTTTCTTTGTAACTTGGTCTTTCTTGTTCATGTCTGGTCTCAGAAGAAGAGCTCTTTGCCTTGCATATCTCTGTGATACTTAAAGAACTTCAGCTAAGGGGAGCAAGTGAGGTTAGCCAGTTTATACAATTATAAGTCACAAAACTGCAGAGGTGGTAGATTGGAGCTGGCTGGTGTTTTGTAATGCTGGAAGCCAGCAGGACAGCAGTAAGCTATTTGGGAAGCTCTCTGTGGGAAGGAAAAAGATGTAAATAACTGGCTGAATGTTATTCCAGTTATCAAAGGTATTAGAGATGGTGCTTGGCTCCAGCCTGTGCTCCTGGCTTCTGCATCCTCATGGCACAGCACGCAGATGGCAGCGTGGTGTGCTGCGCAGCGGTACCTAAGGATGCAGCAGCGCAGGTACAATTCCAACAAGCCAGCAGCATGTGTTCCATTAACACTTGCTAGTGTGAGGTAGCATCTGAGCGGTGATGACTTTTTAATGGTTATCTTGGTAACACTCAAAGTAGAAAAGAAGCATTTTGTAGTAGTTTAAAGACAATTTTCTGTTGACATTAAGACATTTCTGTAATGTTGATAAATGTTTTGGTTTTTACCACTTCTTCATATATGAACAGTAATTAAAACAACACTGTGATTGTTTCAGTTCAGCTCAATCTTCCCTCTGTTCCTTGCATCCCTGTTCCTTCAGCAAGGTTGAGTGATGTAACTTTTGTTAATTCCAAGTGACAGTGAGTTTAACAACCTTCCCTATTCATCTTTGGAACATTGATGTGATCCAGAACTAATACACGTTATGTATTTTGCTTTATGTGATCACATAGTTAACAGTTTTTACTCATAAATTAGTAGGAGTGGAAAAGTTTTATTTTGTTAACCGAGTATTAAACTGAGTGAATTTGGGGGGATTTTTTACTGCAACTATGTATCTCTAACCTTGCTGTTTTATCAGTGTAGTTTATTGTTTGGGAATAGCATAAAAAGTAGATAGCCTGTATAAAAAGCCCCTCTTTAAAATCTTCAGGACTTACTTCTTTCCGTTAAAATCTAGAAATAAGTTCCTCTCCTGATTTTACAGTAGACTGAAATAATAAACTGCTTTTCATTTGAAAAAAGATAGCTACATATAAAAATTATATTTGGTGAGCTTTTTACATATGATGTTCGAAAGCTTTTGAAAACTTGTATGTTTAAAGTTTTTGATGCCTCCAAATAACTTCTTTATGGCATGTGATTGTGTTCGTTGATTTCTGCCTGTGAAATGCTATACCAGAACGTAGGGTTGGTAAGTACTGCAGAAGTACTTTTAAATAGATTATGTGTGTGGAATATAGTTCAGTCAGGGTTAAAACTTCCTTTGTTCTCAAGTGCTATCTAGGCACTAACCTGTTTGGCTGATGGTCTTTTGTTTTTGTCTGTGTGTTAATTCTCAGAATCCCCAGTTGTCACTTGACATCAAGTAAAAAGGTATCAGCTGTTCTTTCACTCAGAACTTCTCATTGTCAATTGTGACAACACTCATGATTTATTTTCTTTTTCCCTCTCTCCTGTTGTCTGCAGAAAGAACTTCCTCACATAAAAGCTTTTTCTACTCTTTCACCAATCCCGGGATTCACAAAATGGCTTGTTGGTCTCCTCTCCTCACAAGCAAAAGAACTGGAAAGAAATGAACTTTTTACAGAATCAGAATGGCAAGAAATCTCTGAGATCACAGGAGACACTACTACTGAAACACTGAAGAAGATCTTAAATAACAATGAGTGGGTGCGATCAGAGAAATTAGTTCAAGTGCTCCGTTCACCATTTATGAGACTCTGTGCCTGGTACTTGTATGGAGAGAAACATCGTGGCTATGCCCTTAATCCAGTAGCAAATTTTCATCTTCAGAATGGTTCTGTGATGTGGCGGATAAACTGGATGGCGGACACAAGCCCTCGGGGCATTGCTGCTTCTTGTGGCATGATGGTAAACTATCGGTACTTCTTAGAGGATACAGCCAGCAATAGTGCAGCATACCTGGGCAGTAAACAAATTAAAGCCTCAGAGCAGGTTCTTTCCTTGGTGTCTCAATTCCAGCAAAACAGCAAGCTTTAATTACATATTATGAGAACTAAGGACGAGTGTTCCTCACCCATAAGGAGCTGTAATAATTTACTCAGCACAGTGCAATGAAAAGTTACCTAGATTCCCAGTCGTCTTGCTTATCTTGCCATATACTCGAAACCTGATTGACTGTGATTGAGCCACTGCAAGTTCTAGATATCCATTATGTGCAGATGGGTTGGAGGTATGTATTAAAGGGCAAGTAAAATTCTCCCAGTCAGTTACAGTTCAGTGGTAACTTGGATGGAAAATGCTTGAGCTGTACCATTAGTCTTGATAATAAACTTGTGTAAACTGTGTCTTTGAAAGGAGCTGCACATCTTTGTCATAATAGTAGTGTATATAGTTCAGTACCAAAGTACCTGGAAAGAAGTACTGAATGAAGGTGAATTTTTTTCTCAAAAACATTAGCAAAACACTAATCTGCAATTTTATTTCAATGATACCTGTCTTTTTCACCCTCAAAAACTCTTATGTAAAACCTCTTGGTATTTTTCAAACCCGCTAAAAATCTCATTGGATTCTTGCTTTGCTCTAAAATCAGGGTCTCTCAGTACAGCAGTATGTAGTATTAGAGTATGTAGTATTATATTTGCATTTTTGTCTGCTGAAGTATAATGAGCAAGAAGGAAGTGCTCAAATACAAATAAGAGAGACTGATACTTCGGAATCAATTGAGAAGTGTCCAAATATGTATATTATACTTTGTCTCTGGAAATGTTTTGAGTTGATAGGGAGCTCTTTTAATAAAGAGGTATCTGTGACCTGCAAACCAATAAAACAATATTTCTCACTAAATCCTGTCTTGTATATTTTCAGTGTGCACCTTTCTTCACTTAAGAGCCCTCCTTCAAAAATTGTATCACCACAGCAGGACCATCTTAACAGAATTTCATGCTGTTTTGTAATTTCTGATTTATTTACAATTAAAATGTAGCTGTCTACAGTTTAGAATATCAGACCTGTATCAGAATATCAGAATGAACAAACCACTCACACATTGCTTTTGCTTTTGTATGTAGCACATGCATTTTTGTAATCAGTTTTTGGTACAGAGCCTTAGGATGAACATAGGTGCATAGTTGTATTGGTACTGAAATTTTCACCATGCAGATTTCTACAAGACTCACTACTTCTGTTTTAACAGGTCAGAAGATGACTTCATTCTTCTCTTGGCTTTTCTAAGCTTTATGAACTTCAGGTTTCAAGGTGAAATTTAGCTGCTTATATAAATATGTACAAGCCATTCTTGCCTGGGAGGAATAAATAAAGAACCCTCTTTCCTTGTTATGTTAAGCTCTTCAAGTTTGAGGAAACCAGGTCACTTACTTAAAATGAAAGAGTTCTGAAAATACAATGATTTTGAAAGATTTTTTTCATGTTGAAACAGAAACTTAGAGGGCAATTAAATGTGCATCCACCTGGCCATAGTTCAAAAAGAGCTAACGCTCTTGCTTTACTGCAGATGGAAATAGAGCGTCATCCTATATTCTTAACAGCTGGACTCAAAGGATAATGAGATTTTTCCACTTGGAGCCCCAGAAAAATGTATGAGAATTGGTTCAGTGACATGAAGTAAGAGTAGCTTCTGAGGAAGAAAAAGCAAAGCTTTTGACACTTCATTAACACTTCAATTATTTCTCTAGACCACTGGCTTCTTGTATCTAATACGGACATTACAGGTACATGGATCTTCCCTCAGCTTAAGGGAAGCAGTCATACCTCTTTTTTAGTTCCTACCAATCTTAGGAAGATACATACTGGTATTCAGGCATGTCAAATCAGGAGTTTCTCTCAACTTCAGACCTTGTACCCTGTGGTTCCAGGATTTTGAACCAGTGTAGTTCATTTGCACATCGTGAACAGGTCCACCCTTTCTGCCCCACCTCAGGCACATGCCACATTCTGTAGCTGTTGAATTACTAGTCACTCCTGCATTAGCAGCCAGTTTAATTTACTGGTATCCACAGGAGCTGTTCTAAGGTGTTTGAGGTGTGGGGCTGAGAAGCAGATTATAGACAAGGATGTAGCAGCATCTTACTGGAGCTATTATGGATGGGTACGTTTGTTGCATGACATCTGTTTTCCATCACAACCCTAGCGCCTACAGAGTTATTTCCTTTCAAACAGTTGTTACAGTTTTAGTTATTGGTTGTGTTTTGCTTTCTGAGGTCACTTCATCTGTTACATTGATAAGTTAGCAATGTGAGGCCACAGTGAGTTCTGTACCAGAATCACAGTACAAATTCAAGTGCAAAAGGGCCATTTGAAGATGAAGGTGGGACAGTCTGCTCGTAAAAGCCATCAGCTGTTAAGTGCTGTTAGTGTTCTTACATTGGTCATTGACTCTTAACTGTCTAGCAGTGCTTGGATTTTGCAACTTGCTACTGAAGAGTGATTTTAGCATGAACAATGCTGGAGAGAGCAGAATAAATATTCACCATCTGTACTACTTACTAGGACAATAACTGTCTCACTAGAGAGGGATCTCACTTTATCAAAATGGGTCTTCACAACTCAGAAGAGAGCAGTTCAGCTTCTTTTCCTCTCTCTCAGTGTGTAAAACTTGTTCCACTATTTCTGAAGGGCATGCATGTCATGTTAAAGAAGAGGTAACTGCCTGCCCTTTAAGGAAGCTGAAATCTGAAAGTTCCCAAAGTTACTGCTTCCTGTTACTGTATTAATGTGTTTCAAACAATGTATTTTGGGATTAATTTAGGGTGTGTAACACTGCACTGTGTTTCACTGTGCCAAGGCTGAAATAACAAGTAAATTTTCCCTTTTGTGGGTTGTTCTTTGGGTAACAAGCCGTAGATACATTCCTGTTTTTCTGACCGGCTTCCCAAGTGATTTCATTCCAGCAAATACTGGTTTACTGCTAGTGATTGACAAGTCCTGCAGCCACGTGTGGGTCATGTAATGCAGCTGGCCACACTGTGTTGCGTTGTTGAAGCTGCCATGGTATGTTAGGCCTTGAACTGGCACAGCTTCTGTGCATCAGATCCATGGTGCAGCCCTTCCCCTTGCCATCCTGAAGATTAGAGGCTTCTTAAATGTGCCGCTTGGGAGTCAACTGTTTTGTAACTGCTACATTAGCAAAAGTATCCCTGTAGTTATCGGTGCTTAAGATGTTAGAAGCAATGGCATTGATAGCTGTAGCATAATACCCACAAGTATGTCTTCTGGGTGGAAAACAGATGTTAAGAAAGAGAGAATAACTTAAAATCTGTCACTTCTTCCATTGGTAGGTTCTAAAATGAGGCATAGAGGAGACTGAGAATTATTTGGTAAAGTTAGGGCTTTCTTCTAGTGGCTTACATCACATTCACAGTTCTGATTGTATTCTAGTATTTGAACAGGGTGACGTGGGTTTCTGAGTACAGGCAGTGGTTTTGAGTGCAGGTTTTTAACCAATACTGAACTGACCATGACCCTCTAGGTCATGATGTAACACTGAGGCAGTAGACAGCAGCACAGCATGTGAAATACCTGGACCATTAGATAGGACTGTAGGCTGTAGGACTTGACACTTAAGTCAGAGTTTATTTCAGCCCATAAAGTGCTGGAAGGAGGCATAGTGTATTCAGGTCAGGGGCTGCTTTGGTTTCCACTGTCATTTGTTTTCTTTGCTGCCCTACTCGGTGCAGTTGGTACCAAACAAGGTATTCATAATTTACAGTGCCATTGGTTCCTCAGGGGAACCCACCTGACTGCAGCTCCCGCTACATACTCCTCCACAATGGAGTGATGTGATCTCCTGGTTAAAAGCCCAGGTTTTGTCAGCAGGCTTTGCCATCGACCCTGCCCTTCTAACCTGCATCCCTGACTTGTCAGGACACCTTCTATTCCATGTGTCCACAAAAGAAAACGTGGTGGCTGGTTTCAGTGCTTCTCTTCATCGGTAAGCAGTGGTAGCTGCTGTGCTCTTGTTAGGTGCAGCATATAAAAAGCATCACAGTTTTACAGCTGCATCCTGCTTTTGAAAGTGAATCAATAGAAATGATGTTACTTTGTCACTTGTGCTTGTTTTATGATCAACTTACACCATTTTTCATGTCACAGGAGTAGGGCCTTTCTTTGTACAAGTTGCATGGAGCTGAGCAGGACCTGTGTTCTAACGTGCCCTGCATGGGTAATGAGAGGCCAAAATATTGCTCAAATGGAGGATATTCAATTTATTTGCACATGCTGAGCCGTGACAAAGTCCTACTAAAATAAAGGGCTAAGTGCTTCTTGAATCAGACGAACTTTCCGTGTTTATCACTATTGTTTATTTTAATTATTGGCTGTCATAACCTATAAACATGCCTCCTGTGGTCTCCTTGTGGAAATAAGTACAAAGGTTTATTAAACCAGATAGAATAAGGTAATGGTAGTTTTGTTCTTCAGCCTCTTGGTAAGGAAACTTCCTAGGAAGGGAGAGATCAGGGCTATGGTCAGCATGCCTGGAGCACCTGACACATGGTTAGCATCGTTTTCTTTTGAAAATAAGGAATAAACAGTCACATTTATTGTCTTCCTTTTTTTACAGCTTTTGAAAGAAATTGAATTTTTTAACAAATCTGATTGATAGAACAGCAGGTATCTCGAAGACAATAATTTCCAAAACCAGTAAAGATCAGGAGGAAGATAAAAACTACATTAGTATCTCTCAGAGGTGAAAGCCACATGTTTCTCAAGCAAGTGTGCTCACCACTAGGATGTCGTATAGATATTTGCCACCGTTTAATACACGTCTTCAAAGGAGGACTGATAAATGGACCTCAAGGGAAGTCTTGTATCATAAGCCTGTTCAGATGTGTTCCTGCACTTACTCAAGTTACTGTCCATTGACTGTTATTTTTCTGTGTGTAGCTACCCTAAATCATCCATTAAGGTATTGACTACGTGGTGCACAGGGTAGGAAGGCAAGGTGAATTGCCTTGATGTGGCACTTCCAACCTAGATGCTTACAGTTACGGAACTAAGCATAGTGAAGTGGATTAGACTCAAGGCACTTTGCAGTCAGAATTAAGTTTGGGGTTTTTTGATTGAGGGTACCTGAAA